AGAAATAACCAAACACTGACCAGATGAGAGGTATCTAGAAAAAATGAGAGAAACAGAAACGTGGTAGTTCAGAAGTAATGACGAAGAAGAGTCTGTCACAGAAGGCTTAGCGGATACATCACCAGTGTTCCATTTAAGAGAATCAGTTGGTGCATTTAGTTTTGTGTAGCACAAACACAAAACATAAATTCAGAAACATGTGTATTTAGTGCCATATTACTGCAGTGTGTGTGTATGTTAGATGAGTATGTGATCCCAAGCACATATTTCGTTTAGGAGGTTCAGGTAAGCTCCATGTGAACATATTTATTCATGTTTCCTTTATAACCATTTCACTTATATCTCGGTGAAAATCTATCCATCAAACCCTTCACCTATACACAAAGTGATGATTATTCACTGCAAACTAAACCGTTAATTTCATTGTGATGATAAAATACACGATAGCTTGTTTGGATTCTTCGTCAGTGTTGATTCATTTACACTAAGAAACAGCGGACAGTGAGGAAACAGGCATAAAATGGACACACACTAAAAACTTGGAGGATCTGGACTTCGCCGATGATATATGTCTGATTTTCAACAAACTGGAAGATATGCAAGCGAAAAGCAACAAGTTGGCAGAAGAAGCATCAAAAATAGGACTTCAGGTGAACATAGAGAAAACAGAGGTAATGAAGAATCCTACTAAGAACAACAACAACAAACAACGATCAGCACGAATGGAAAGAACCTGAAAGAAACAACCTCTTTTACCTACCTGGGAAGCATCGTTTCAACTACAGAAAGACGGAACTGACGAGGATATCAAAGCAAGAATTGGAAAAGCAAAACAAGCTTTCACTACTCTCAAGTCTGTGTGGAGGTCAACAGCACTCAGCATCAAAAATTAGATCCGGATTTTCAACTCCAATGTGAAGTCAGTGCTACTCACTGTAGGGATCAGAGACTTGCACTGCGCGTCATAAAGAGCATCTCAAACAAACTACAGACCTTCATTATCCATGCTGAAAATTCCACACTTGTACTGAAAATACGGTGTGGAATCAAGCTGTAAATCAAAAATAAAAAAAATAAATAAAATTAACAGTTGTCTTCACTCAGTACTCAAGATCAGATGGCCAGAGTTGATAAGCAACAGAGAGGGATCTCTGGGAGAGAACCAACCAGGAACCGATTGTGAAGCAAATAGGCAGGAGGAAATGGAGATGGATTGGCCATACTCTGAGGAAACCATCAAGCGACATCACTAGACAAGCCATCGCTTGAGTGGAACCCGAAAGGGAAGCGGCAAGTTGGTCGTCCAAGTGTGACTTGGAGGAGGTCATGTGAAGAGGAGATGAAAACGTGTGGGCAAACTTGGGGCCAGGTGAAGACTCTAGCAGAGAACAGAACGCAATGGAGACGAACGGCTGAAGCCCTATGTTCCTATAGGAATTAAAGGAAACAATAAGAAGAAAGCCTCGGAGTGGAATCTGCATTATCACCTCACAGCGTATCTAAATGAATAATTAGCGGTTCCGTAATAAGGAAGAGTCAATTTCATTATAATTCCATCTCTCCCATCATTATCTTTGTAACTCGCTCACATCCTAATTCTTTTAAAGCAGGCTCAACAAACAGCCTTGAAAGTAGTATCAAAATCTCGATGTTTAATAAGTATTAAACATAGGGAGAGGAAATATTGTCATCACTGTTCAATTTATCTAGTTTTGTGTGCAATAACTGGTTGATGTAAATAAATAGATGTAGTTGAACTCCATATGCAGAACCCCATTTGTCTGTCTGTGTTGACCACTTACTTGCTTTATTTACTAAAGTTACTGAGAAACAGGCTTCATCTTACTTAAGGTGTCTTACTTTGAAAGACGAATATAGCGCTAAGTTGACTCTGGGCGATACCCACTGGCCAAGTTAAAACATATATCTACTTCTGACAGACACAACTAACAGCATTTCTTAATGATACTCCTGCGCATTTGATGAAAAATTCCAATTATTGAGGTAATCTCTGACCAGATGAGGAGAATTTGTGCACATGAGCAAGCTAATGTTGTTGCTAATATTGTTTGACTGATTAATTTACTGAATTGTTATTCAAGGATAATACTGAAATTAGACTTCTCTCAGAGAAAACCTGTCGGAAGTTAGCGATTCACGACAGCGCACTAAAATCGTCGAATAAAGTATCCTAAACGAGGGAGAATATTTTAATTCGACGGGGTATCTCTCCAAAGTACATATCAAGTAAATACTCAATGTCACATGTTCGCTTGATATGGAAGTCTCAGTTAAGCGATATTTTCATAAACAATTCGGTTTTCTTTCTTTCTCAAAAAAATAAGATATGTACATTCATCATAATGATAATACAACATTCACCAATGAGTCATCTGAGATCGAATGATTCATTTCAGAGTGAAGGTGAACCACACGATAGGTTTTTAGGCTCGTTTGCTGATTTCGAGGCGCGTAGAATCATGAAGTCTCATTGCAGCATTTTGTATCTGAAATGCCTTAGTACATTCAGTTCTCTTTATAAGACACAATGTTTGATTTATTTCGCATCATTTACAAAGGGAAGTTTTAATGCAGAATGATTTCTTCCTCAGTTAGTTACTTATGCAATCCAGCTATATCCAGCTCTCCTTTTTAACGAATTTGACATTAGAACAATCAGCAGCTAATGGAGACGAAGAAAAATCAGAAGGTAAATTTAAAACGTTCACGTTTACTATATTATCAACATTATCATGGCAAAAATATTCTCATCTTTGCATTTATCTTCTTTCATGTAGAATAATAAAGACGGTAAAATACTCATAAGGTCGAGTCGAAATCGAAATGATGAATCCAAAAGTAGAAATTGAGCCTTTTGATGGAATGCAATGACGCATTAGAAAAGTTTATTTGAAACATCATCCAGTGATGCAGTGTCATTAACTGCATGAGGTATCGAGCATGAATTCTTACTCATAATCATATCAGTAAAGTCACACATCTTCACAGTATGTCTTGAACATATAAACATGTTCTTTATCTATCTTTCCTGCTTCCCAATGTTGTTTGTGGCTACAGGGTGAAAAGAATAAAAAGTGATACAGTTAGGTGGAGAAAGAGGTTGTGCTCTGATTCTTCCCTTATCAATTCAGCATCTACTGTTACTTTAGGAGAATTTACGCAAGAATATAGTGGATCCGTTCTCCATAGATTTCAATCATTAAAATTCTCTTATTAGCAAATGAAAACATATATACATATTTAAAGATTCACATATTCATCAAACCTGCCACTTAAGATTAAACTGATGATCATTCGTCATCGAACAGGTAGCTGTTTACTCAGTGATTACAAGCCAGAAGACGGATTCTCTGAGTTATCTTTGATATTCTGAGGCGGGTCGAATCATGAAGAGTCAGTGTAGCAGTGTGAGTCCTAATCATCTTAATACAATCGGTTATATTTATTATGACACATTGATTGACATCTATTACATCATATTAAAAATTTAGTTTCATTGAAGACATTTGTATGCCTTCTTCGATAAAGCATTCCAATTTTAACTTGTTCTCCTTGAAACAATTTCAGAAATAAAACCAACACTGCACAATGCAGACGATGAAAAATTAGAAGGTACATTTGAATTTCTCACTGTTAGTAATATACGAAATTTATAATTCACAAAATATTCTAAACATTACATTCATTTGTATTCATGCATATTTGACATTGGTTTCCCCATATACGGAGAATAAGACAGAAATATATATTCCAAAAAATGTAGGATTTAAAACATAAGCATAAGAGAAGACATAAATAGATAAAATAAGATGCGAATACGAAATATTGAAAATGATATCGAGAACAATCGAAGGCTCAGTCCAAGATTATAAAAAATTACTATTAGCAGACAAGTAAAATTAGTAATAAAGAAAGACAAACGAACGGAAATAAAACCACAGAACAAAGATTATGGATATCATTCATTTCACGACGAGAAGAATTAAATCATACAACGGTGAGAATAGAAAAAAAGATACTAAATTATTAGGTATATACAAGAGAAGTGGTGCTGGATTTCCTCGATTTGTCATAGTCATCGTTTCATACATCTGATTGTGAGTAAGCAACCAGCCAGCGTGTCCCTTACAAATGAACAGCTCATCGTTATTCACAGATGAAGTTGTCGAGTGCACTGTGAGGGTGAACTGCGAGACTGGTTGCTTCATTTATTTCTCTGTCAGCGTGGATCCGCATAGAGGCGCGAAAAACAGCTGTTCTACAGGTTCTCACAGTCTTTCTCTCTCTCTCTTTCTTTCTTTCCTTCTGTCTGTCTCCATGATTTATGCCAATTGTCAGACTGACTGTTCACGAGTCTTTTTCAGTGTGAATCACTTCCACCATTATTCATAATTATTCACGAAGTCCTTCGGTATTTTCTTTTCTTTTCTTCCAATAGAAGCAGAAACCACAGGTCTCCATGACGAAGATCAATATGGAAATGACGAAGGTAATATACACACACACACACATTCATTGATTTCTATTCCACCTTGAGGATGATCGAAAACATACTCACTCTTTTCATAATTATATTCTAGCCTAGTGGTGCTGGATTTCCTCGATTTGTCATAGTCATCGTTTCATACATCTGATTGTGAGTAAGCAACCAGCCAGCGTGTCCCTTACAAATGAACAGCTCATCGTTATTCACAGATGAAGTTGTCGAGTGCACTGTGAGGGTGAACTGCGAGACTGGTTGCTTCATTTATTTCTCTGTCAGCGTGGATCCGCATAGAGGCGCGAAAAACAGCTGTTCTACAGGTTCTCACAGTCTTTCTCTCTCTCTCTCTTTCTTTCTTTCCTTCTGTCTGTCTCCATGATTTATGCCAATTGTCAGACTGACTGTTCACGAGTCTTTTTCAGTGTGAGTCACTTCCACCATTATTCATAATTATTCACGAAGTCCTTCGGTATTTTCTTTTCTTTTCTTCCAATAGAAGCAGAAACCACAGGTCTCGATGACGAAGATCAATATGGAAATGACGAAGGTAATATCACACACACATTCATTGATTTATATTCCACCTTGAGGATGATCGAAAACATACTCACTCTTTTCATAATTATATTCTAGCCTAGTGGTGCTGGATTTCCTCGATTTGTCATAGTCATCGTTTCATACATCTGATTGTGAGTAAGCAACCAGCCAGCGTGTCCCTTACAAATGAACAGCTCATCGTTATTCACAGATGAAGTTGTCGAGTGCACTGTGAGGGTGAACTGCGAGACTGGTTGCTTCATTTATTTCTCTATCAGCGTGGATCCGCATAGAGGCGCGAAAAACAGCTGTTCTACAGGTTCTCACAGTCTTTCTCTCTCTCTCTCTTTCTTTCTTTCCTTCTGTCTGTCTCCATGATTTATGCCAATTGTCAGACTGACTGTTCACGAGTCTTTTTCAGTGTGAATCACTTCCACCATTATTCATAATTATTCACGAAGTCCTTCGGTATTTTCTTTTCTTTTCTTCCAATAGAAGCAGAAACCACAGGTCTCCATGACGAAGATCAATATGGAAATGACGAAGGTAATATCACACACACATTCATTGATTTATATTCCACCTTGAGGATGATCGAAAACATACTCACTCTTTTCATAATTATATTCTAGCCTAGTGGTGCTGGATTTCCTCGATTTGTCATAGTCATCGTTTCATACATCTGATTGTGAGTAAGCAACCAGCCAGCGTGTCCCTTACAAATGAACAGCTCATCGTTATTCACAGATGAAGTTGTCGAGTGCACTGTGAGGGTGAACTGCGAGACTGGTTGCTTCATTTATTTCTCTGTCAGCGTGGATCCGCATAGAGGCGCGACAAACAGCTGTTCTACAGGTTCTCACAGTCTTTCTCTCTCTCTTTCTTTCTTTCCTTCTGTCTGTCTCCATGATTTATGCCAATTGTCAGACTGACTGTTCACGAGTCTTTTTCAGTGTGAATCACTTCCACCATTATTCATAATTATTCACGAAGTCCTTCGGTATTTTCTTTTCTTTTCTTCCAATAGAAGCAGAAACCACAGGTCTCCATGACGAAGATCAATATGGAAATGACGAAGGTAATATCACACACACATTCATTGATTTATATTCCACCTTGAGGATGATCGAAAACATACTCACTCTTTTCATAATTATATTCTAGCCTAGTGGTGCTGGATTTCCTCGATTTGTCATAGTCATCGTTTCATACATCTGATTGTGAGTAAGCAACCAGCCAGCGTGTCCCTTACAAATGAACAGCTCATCGTTATTCACAGATGAAGTTGTCGAGTGCACTGTGAGGGTGAACTGCGAGACTGGTTGCTTCATTTATTTCTCTGTCAGCGTGGATCCGCATAGAGGCGCGAAACACAGTTGTTCTACAGGTTCTCACAGTCTTTCTCTCTCTCTTTCTTTCTTTCCTTCTGTCTGTCTCCATGATTTATGCCAATTGTCAGACTGACTGTTCACGAGTCTTTTTCAGTGTGAATCACTTCCACCATTATTCATAATTATTCACGAAGTCCTTCGGTATTTTCTTTTCTTTTCTTCCAATAGAAGCAGAAACCACAGGTCTCCATGACGAAGATCAATATGGAAATGACGAAGGTAATATCACACACACATTCATTGATTTATATTCCACCTTGAGGATGATCGAAAACATACTCACTCTTTTCATAATTATATTCTAGCCTAGTGGTGCTGGATTTCCTCGATTTGTCATAGTCATCGTTTCATACATCTGATTGTGAGTAAGCAACCAGCCAGCGTGTCCCTTACAAATAAACAGCTCATCGTTATTCACAGATGAAGTTGTCGAGTGCACTGTGAGGGTGAACTGCGAGACTGGTTGCTTCATTTATTTCTCTGTCAGCGTGGATCCGCATAGAGGCGCGAAAAACAGCTGTTCTACAGGTTCTCACAGTCTTTCTCTCTCTCTCTTTCTTTCTTTCCTTCTGTCTGTCTCCATGATTTATGCCAATTGTCAGACTGACTGTTCACGAGTCTTTTTCAGTGTGAATCACTTCCACCATTATTCATAATTATTCACGAAGTCCTTCGGTATTTTCTTTTCTTTTCTTCCAATAGAAGCAGAAACCACAGGTCTCCATGACGAAGATCAATATGGAAATGACGAAGGTAATATCACACACACATTCATTGATTTATATTCCACCTTGAGGATGATCGAAAACATACTCACTCTTTTCATAATTATATTCTAGCCTAGTGGTGCTGGATTTCCTCGATTTGTCATAGTCATCGTTTCATACATCTGATTGTGAGTAAGCAACCAGCCAGCGTGTCCCTTACAAATGAACAGCTCATCGTTATTCACAGATGAAGTTGTCGAGTGCACTGTGAGGGTGAACTGCGAGACTGGTTGCTTCATTTATTTCTCTGTCAGCGTGGATCCGCATAGAGGCGCGAAAAACAGCTGTTCTACAGGTTCTCACAGTCTTTCTCTCTCTCTCTCTTTCTTTCTTTCCTTCTGTCTGTCTCCATGATTTATGCCAATTGTCAGACTGACTGTTCACGAGTCTTTTTCAGTGTGAATCACTTCCACCATTATTCATAATTATTCACGAAGTCCTTCGGTATTTTCTTTTCTTTTCTTCCAATAGAAGCAGAAACCACAGGTCTCCATGACGAAGATCAATATGGAAATGACGAAGGTAATATCACACACACATTCATTGATTTATATTCCACCTTGAGGATGATCGAAAACATACTCACTCTTTTCATAATTATATTCTAGCCTAGTGGTGCTGGATTTCCTCGATTTGTCATAGTCATCGTTTCATACATCTGATTGTGAGTAAGCAACCAGCCAGCGTGTCCCTTACAAATGAACAGCTCATCGTTATTCACAGATGAAGTTGTCGAGTGCACTGTGAGGGTGAACTGCGAGACTGGTTGCTTCATTTATTTCTCTGTCAGCGTGGATCCGCATAGAGGCGCGAAAAACAGCTGTTCTACAGGTTCTCACAGTCTTTCTCTCTCTCTCTCTTTCTTTCTTTCCTTCTGTCTGTCTCCATGATTTATGCCAATTGTCAGACTGACTGTTCACGAGTCTTTTTCAGTGTGAGTCACTTCCACCATTATTCATAATTATTCACGAAGTCCTTCGGTATTTTCTTTTCTTTTCTTCCAATAGAAGCAGAAACCACAGGTCTCCATGACGAAGATCAATATGGAAATGACGAAGGTAATATCACACACACATTCATTGATTTATATTCCACCTTGAGGATGATCGAAAACATACTCACTCTTTTCATAATTATATTCTAGCCTAGTGGTGCTGGATTTCCTCGATTTGTCATAGTCATCGTTTCATACATCTGATTGTGAGTAAGCAACCAGCCAGCGTGTCCCTTACAAATGAACAGCTCATCGTTATTCACAGATGAAGTTGTCGAGTGCACTGTGAGGGTGAACTGCGAGACTGGTTGCTTCATTTATTTCTCTGTCAGCGTGGATCCGCATAGAGGCGCGAAAAACAGCTGTTCTACAGGTTCTCACAGTCTTTCTCTCTCTCTCTTTCTCTTTCTTTCTTTCCTTCTGTCTGTCTCCATGATTTATGCCAATTGTCAGACTGACTGTTCACGAGTCTTTTTCAGTGTGAATCACTTCCACCATTATTCATAATTATTCACGAAGTCCTTCGGTATTTTCTTTTCTTTTCTTCCAATAGAAGCAGAAACCACAGGTCTCCATGACGAAGATCAATATGGAAATGACGAAGGTAATATCACACACACATTCATTGATTTATATTCCACCTTGAGGATGATCGAAAACATACTCACTCTTTTCATAATTATATTCTAGCCTAGTGGTGCTGGATTTCCTCGATTTGTCATAGTCATCGTTTCATACATCTGATTGTGAGTAAGCAACCAGCCAGCGTGTCTCTTACAAATAAACAGCTCATCGTTATTCACAGATGAAGTTGTCGAGTGCACTGTGAGGGTGAACTGCGAGACTGGTTGCTTCATTTATTTCTCTGTCAGCGTGGATCCGCATAGAGGCGCGAAAAACAGCTGTTCTACAGGTTCTCACAGTCTTTCTCTCTCTCTCTTTCTTTCTTTCTGTCTGTCTGTCTCCATGATTTATGCCAATTGTTAGAATGACTGTTCACGAGTCTTTTTCAGTGTGAATCACTTCCACCATTATTCATAATTATTCACGAAGTCCTTCGGTATTTGATTTTCTTTTCTCCCAATAGAAGCAGAAACCACAGGTCTCGATGACGAAGATCAATATGGAAATGACGAAGGTAATATCACACACACACACACATTCATTGATTTCTATTCCACCTTGAGGATGATCGAAAACATACTCACTCTTTTCATAATTATATTCTAGCCTAGTGGTGCTGGATTTCCTCGATTTGTCAAAGTCATCGTTTCATACATCTGATTGTGAGTATGCAACCAGCCAGCGTGTCCCTTACAAATAAACAGCTCATCGTTATTCACAGATGAAGTTGTCGAGTGCACTGTGAGGGTGAACTGCAAGACTGGTTGCTTCATTTATTTCTCTGTCAGCGTGGATCCGCATAGAGGCGCGAAAAACAGCTGTTCTACAGGTTCTCACAGTCTTTCTCTCTCTCTCTTTCTTTCTTTCTGTCTGTCTGTCTCCATGATTTATGCCAATTGTCAGACTGACTGTTCACGAGTCTTTTTCAGTGTGAATCACTTCCACCATTATTCATAATTATTCACGAAGTCCTTCGGTATTTGATTTTCTTTTCTCCCAATAGAAGCAGAAACCACAGGTCTCCATGACGAAGATCAATATGGAAATGACGAAGGTAATATCACACACACAATTCATTGATTTCTATTCCACCTTGAGGATGATCGAAAACATACTCACTCTTTTCATAATTATATTCTAGCCTAGTGGTGCTGGATTTCCTCGATTTGTCATAGTCATCGTTTCATACATCTGATTGTGAGTAAGCAACCAGCCAGCGTGTCCCTTACAAATAAACAGCTCATCGTTATTCACAGATGAAGTTGTCGAGTGCACTGTGAGGGTGAACTGCGAGACTGGTTGCTTCATTTATTTCTCTGTCAGCGTGGATCCGCATAGAGGCGCGAAAAACAGCTGTTCTACAGGTTCTCACAGTCTTTCTCTCTCTCTCTTTCTTTCTTTCCTTCTGTCTGTCTCCATGATTTATGCCAATTGTCAGACTGACTGTTCACGAGTCTTTTTCAGTGTGAATCACTTCCACCATTATTCATAATTATTCACGAAGTCCTTCGGCATTTTCTTTTCTTTTCTTCCAATAGAAGCAGAAACCACAGGTCTCCATGACGAAGATCAATATGGAAATGACGAAGGTAATATCACACACACATTCATTGATTTCTATTCCACCTTGAGGATGATCGAAAACATACTCACTCTTTTCATAATTATATTCTAGCCTAGTGGTGCTGGATTTCCTCGATTTGTCAAAGTCATCGTTTCATACATCTGATTGTGAGTATGCAACCAGCCAGCGTGTCCCTTACAAATACACAGCTCATCGTTATTCACAGATGAAGTTGTCGAGTGCACTGTGAGGGTGAACTGCAAGACTGGTTGCTTCATTTATTTCTCTGTCAGCGTGGATCCGCATAGAGGTGCGAAACACAGTTGTTCTACAGGTTCTCACAGTCTTTCTCTCTCTCTTTCTTTCTTTCCTTCTGTCTGTCTCCATGATTTATGCCAATTGTCAGACTGACTGTTCACGAGTCTTTTTCAGTGTGAATCACTTCCACCATTATTCATAATTATTCACGAAGTCCTTCGGTATTTTCTTTTCTTTTCTTCCAATAGAAGCAGAAACCACAGGTCTCGATGACGAAGATCAATATGGAAATGACGAAGGTAATATCACACACACATTCATTGATTTATATTCCACCTTGAGGATGATCGAAAACATACTCACTCTTTTCATAATTATATTCTAGCCTAGTGGTGCTGGATTTCCTCGATTTGTCATAGTCATCGTTTCATACATCTGATTGTGAGTAAGCAACCAGCCAGCGTGTCTCTTACAAATGAACAGCTCATCGTTATTCACAGATGAAGTTGTCGAGTGCACTGTGAGGGTGAACTGCGAGACTGGTTGCTTCATTTATTTCTCTGTCAGCGTGGATCCGCATAGAGGCGCGAAAAACAGCTGTTCTACAGGTTCTCACAGTCTTTCTCTCTCTCTTTCTTTCTTTCCTTCTGTCTGTCTCCATGATTTATGCCAATTGTCAGACTGACTGTTCACGAGTCTTTTTCAGTGTGAATCACTTCCACCATTATTCATAATTATTCACGAAGTCCTTCGGTATTTTCTTTTCTTTTCTTCCAATAGAAGCAGAAACCACAGGTCTCCATGACGAAGATCAATATGGAAATGACGAAGGTAATATCACACACACATTCATTGATTTATATTCCACCTTGAGGATGATCGAAAACATACTCACTCTTTTCATAATTATATTCTAGCCTAGTGGTGCTGGATTTCCTCGATTTGCCATAGTCATCGTTTCATACATCTGATTGTGAGTAAGCAACCAGCCAGCGTGTCCCTTACAAATAAACAGCTCATCGTTATTCACAGATGAAGTTGTCGAGTGCACTGTGAGGGTGAACTGCGAGACTGGTTGCTTCATTTATTTCTCTGTCAGCGTGGATCCGCATAGAGGCGCGAAAAACAGCTGTTCTACAGGTTCTCACAGTCTTTCTCTCTCTCTCTTTCTTTCTTTCCTTCTGTCTGTCTCCATGATTTATGCCAATTGTCAGACTGACTGTTCACGAGTCTTTTTCAGTGTGAATCACTTCCACCATTATTCATAATTATTCACGAAGTCCTTCGGTATTTTCTTTTCTTTTCTTCCAATAGAAGCAGAAACCACAGGTCTCCATGACGAAGATCAATATGGAAATGACGAAGGTAATATCACACACACATTCATTGATTTATATTCCACCTTGAGGATGATCGAAAACATACTCACTCTTTTCATAATTATATTCTAGCCTAGTGGTGCTGGATTTCCTCGATTTGTCATAGTCATCGTTTCATACATCTGATTGTGAGTAAGCAACCAGCCAGCGTGTCCCTTACAAATGAACACCTCATCGTTATTCACAGATGAAGTTGTCGAGTGCACTGTGAGGGTGAACTGCGAGACTGGTTGCTTCATTTATTTCTCTGTCAGCGTGGATCCGCATAGAGGCGCGAAAAACAGCTGTTCTACAGGTTCTCACAGTCTTTCTCTCTCTCTTTCTTTCTTTCCTTCTGTCTGTCTCCATGATTTATGCCAATTGTCAGACTGACTGTTCACGAGTCTTTTTCAGTGTGAATCACTTCCACCATTATTCATAATTATTCACGAAGTCCTTCGGTATTTTCTTTTCTTTTCTTCCAATAGAAGCAGAAACCACAGGTCTCCATGACGAAGATCAATATGGAAATGACGAAGGTAATATCACACACACATTCATTGATTTATATTCCACCTTGAGGATGATCGAAAACATACTCACTCTTTTCATAATTATATTCTAGCCTAGTGGTGCTGGATTTCCTCGATTTGTCATAGTCATCGTTTCATACATCTGATTGTGAGTAAGCAACCAGCCAGCGTGTCCCTTACAAATAAACAGCTCATCGTTATTCACAGATGAAGTTGTCGAGTGCACTGTGAGGGTGAACTGCGAGACTGGTTGCTTCATTTATTTCTCTGTCAGCGTGGATCCGCATAGAGGCGCGAAAAACAGCTGTTCTACAGGTTCTCACAGTCTTTCTCTCTCTCTTTCTTTCTTTCCTTCTGTCTGTCTCCATGATTTATGCCAATTGTCAGACTGACTGTTCACGAGTCTTTTTCAGTGTGAATCACTTCCACCATTATTCATAATTATTCACGAAGTCCTTCGGTATTTTCTTTTCTTTTCTTCCAATAGAAGCAGAAACCACAGGTCTCGATGACGAAAATCAATATGGAAATGACGAAGGTAATATCACACACACATTCATTGATTTATATTCCACCTTGAGGATGATCGAAAACATACTCACTCTTTTCATAATTATATTCTAGCCTAGTGGTGCTGGATTTCCTCGATTTGCCATAGTCATCGTTTCATACATCTGATTGTGAGTAAGCAACCAGCCAGCGTGTCCCTTACAAATAAACAGCTCATCGTTATTCACAGATGAAGTTGTCGAGTGCACTGTGAGGGTGAACTGCGAGACTGGTTGCTTCATTTATTTCTCTGTCAGCGTGGATCCGCATAGAGGCGCGAAAAACAGCTGTTCTACAGGTTCTCACAGTCTTTCTCTCTCTCTTTCTTTCTTTCCTTCTGTCTGTCTCCATGATTTATGCCAATTGTCAGACTGACTGTTCACGAGTCTTTTTCAGTGTGAATCACTTCCACCATTATTCATAATTATTCACGAAGTCCTTCGGTATTTTCTTTTCTTTTCTTCCAATAGAAGCAGAAACCACAGGTCTCCATGACGAAGATCAATATGGAAATGACGAAGGTAATATCACACACACATTCATTGATTTATATTCCACCTTGAGGATGATCGAAAACATACTCACTCTTTTCATAATTATATTCTAGCCTAGTGGTGCTGGATTTCCTCGATTTGTCATAGTCATCGTTTCATACATCTGATTGTGAGTATGCAACCAGCCAGCGTGTCCCTTACAAATAAACAGCTCATCGTTATTCACAGATGAAGTTGTCGAGTGCACTGTGAGGGTGAACTGCAAGACTGGTTGCTTCATTTATTTCTCTGTCAGCGTGGATCCGCATACAGGCGCGAAAACAGCTGTTCTACAGGTTCTCACAGTCTTTTCTCTCTCTCTTTCTTTCTTTCCTTCTGTCTGTCTCCATGATTTATGCCAATTGTCAGACTGACTGTTCACGAGTCTTTTTCAGTGTGAATCACTTCCACCATTATTCATAATTATTCACGAAGTCCTTCGGTATTTTCTTTTCTTTTCTTCCAATAGAAGCAGAAACCACAGGTCTCCATGACGAAGATCAATATGGAAATGACGAAGGTAATATCACACACACATTCATTGATTTATATTCCACCTTGAGGATGATCGAAAACATACTCACTCTTTTCATAATTATATTCTAGCCTAGTGGTGCTGGATTTCCTCGATTTGTCATAGTCATCGTTTCATACATCTGATTGTGAGTAAGCAACCAGCCAGCGTGTCCCTTACAAATAAACAGCTCATCGTTATTCACAGATGAAGTTGTCGAGTGCACTGTGAGGGTGAACTGCGAGACTGGTTGCTTCATTTATTTCTCTGTCAGCGTGGATCCGCATAGAGGCGCGAAAAACAGCTGTTCTACAGGTTCTCACAGTCTTTCTCTCTCTCTCTTTCTTTCTTTCCTTCTGTCTGTCTCCATGATTTATGCCAATTGTCAGACTGACTGTTCACGAGTCTTTTTCAGTGTGAATCACTTCCACCATTATTCATAATTATTCACGAAGTCCTTCGGTATTTTCTTTTCTTTTCTTCCAATAGAAGCAGAAACCACAGGTCTCCATGACGAAGATCAATATGGAAATGACGAAGGTAATATCACACACACATTCATTGATTTATATTCCACCTTGAGGATGATCGAAAACATACTCACTCTTTTCATAATTATATTCTAGCCTAGTGGTGCTGGATTTCCTCGATTTGTCATAGTCATCGTTTCATACATCTGATTGTGAGTAAGCAACCAGCCAGCGTGTCCCTTACAAATGAACAGCTCATCGTTATTCACAGATGAAGTTGTCGAGTGCACTGTGAGGGTGAACTGCGAGACTGGTTGCTTCATTTATTTCTCTGTCAGCGTGGATCCGCATACAGGCGCGAAACACAGCTGTTCTACAGGTTCTCACAGTCTTTCTCTCTCTCTTTCTTTCTTTCCTTCTGTCTGTCTCCATGATTTATGCCAATTGTCAGACTGACTGTTCACGAGTCTTTTTCAGTGTGAATCACTTCCACCATTATTCATAATTATTCACGAAGTCCTTCGGTATTTTCTTTTCTTTTCTTCCAATAGAAGCAGAAACCACAGGTCTCCATGACGAAGATCAATATGGAAATGACGAAGGTAATATCACACACACATTCATTGATTTATATTCCACCTTGAGGATGATCGAAAACATACTCACTCTTTTCATAATTATATTCTAGCCTAGTGGTGCTGGATTTCCTCGATTTGTCATAGTCATCGTTTCATACATCTGATTGTGAGTAAGCAACCAGCCAGCGTGTCCCTTACAAATAAACAGCTCATCGTTATTCACAGATGAAGTTGTCGAGTGCACTGTGAGGGTGAACTGCGAGACTGGTTGCTTCATTTATTTCTCTGTCAGCGTGGATCCGCATAGAGGCGCGAAAAACAGCTGTTCTACAGGTTCTCACAGTCTTTCTCTCTCTCTTTCTTTCTTTCCTTCTGTCTGTCTCCATGATTTATGCCAATTGTCAGACTGACTGTTCACGAGTCTTTTTCAGTGTGAATCACTTCCACCATTATTCATAATTATTCACGAAGTCCTTCGGTATTTTCTTTTCTTTTCTTCCAATAGAAGCAGAAACCACAGGTCTCCATGACGAAGATCAATATGGAAATGACGAAGGTAATATCACACACACATTCATTGATTTATATTCCACCTTGAGGATGATCGAAAACATACTCACTCGTTTCATAATTATATTCTAGCCTAGTGGTGCTGGATTTCCTCGATTTGTCATAGTCATCGTTTCATACATCTGATTGTGAGTATGCAACCAGCCAGCGTGTCCCTTACAAATAAACAGCTCATCGTTATTCACAGATGAAGTTGTCGAGTGCACTGTGAGGGTGAACTGCGAGACTGGTTGCTTCATTTATTTCTCTGTCAGCGTGGATCCGCATAGAGGCGCGAAAAACAGCTGTTCTACAGGTTCTCACAGTCTTTCTCTCTCTCTTTCTTTCTTTCCTTCTGTCTGTCTCCATGATTTATGCCAATTGTCAGACTGACTGTTCACGAGTCTTTTTCAGTGTGAATCACTTCCACCATTATTCATAATTATTCACGAAGTCCTTCGGTATTTTCTTTTCTTTTCTTCCAATAGAAGCAGAAACCACAGGTCTCCATGACGAAGATCAATATGGAAATGACGAAGGTAATATCAACACACACACATTCATTGATTTCTATTCCACCTTGAGGATGATCGAAAACATACTCACTCGTTTCATAATTATATTCTAGCCTAGTGGTGCTGGATTTCCTCGATTTGTCATAGTCATCGTTTCATACATCTGATTGTGAGTAAGCAACCAGCCAGCGTGTCCCTTACAAATGAACAGCTCATCGTTATTCACAGATGAAGTTGTCGAGTGCACTGTGAGGGTGAACTGCAAGACTGGTTGCTTCATTTATTTCTCTGTCAGCGTGGATCCGCATAGAGGCGCGAAACACAGCTGTTCTACAGGTTCTCACAGTCTTTCTCTCTCTCTCTCTCTTTCTTTCTGTCTGTCTGTCTCCATGATTTATGCCAATTGTCAGACTGACTGTTCACGAGTCTTTTTCAGTGTGAATCACTTCCACCATTATTCATAATTATTCACGAAGTCCTTCGGTATTTTCTTTTCTTTTCTTCCAATAGAAGCAGAAACCACAGGTCTCGATGACGAAGATCAATATGGAAATGACGAAGGTAATATCACACACACACACATTCATTGATTTCTATTCCACCTTGAGGATGATCGAAAACATACTCACTCTTTTCATAATTATATTCTAGCCTAGTGGTGCTGGATTTCCTCGATTTGTCATAGTCATCGTTTCATACATCTGATTGTGAGTATGCAACCAGCCAGCGTGTCCCTTACAAATACACAGCTCATCGTTATTCACAGATGAAGTTGTCGAGTGCACTGTGAGGGTGAACTGCAAGACTGGTTGCTTCATTTATTTCTCTGTCAGCGTGGATCCGCATAGAGGCGCGAAAAACAGCTGTTCTACAGGTTCTCACAGTCTTTCTCTCTCTCTTTCTTTCTTTCCTTCTGTCTGTCTCCATGATTTATGCCAATTGTTAGAATGACTGTTCACGAGTCTTTTTCAGTGTGAATCACTTCCACCATTATTCATAATTATTCACGAAGTCCTTCGGTATTTTCTTTTCTTTTCTTCCAATAGAAGCAGAAACCACAGGTCTCCATGACGAAGATCAATATGGAAATGACGAAGGTAATATCACACACACATTCATTGATTTATATTCCACCTTGAGGATGATCGAAAACATACTCACTCTTTTCATAATTATATTCTAGCCTAGTGGTGCTGGATTTCCTCGATTTGTCATAGTCATCGTTTCATACATCTGATTGTGAGTAAGCAACCAGCCAGCGTGTCCCTTACAAATGAACAGCTCATCGTTATTCACAGATGAAGTTGTCGAGTGCACTGTGAGGGTGAACTGCGAGACTGGTTGCTTCATTTATTTCTCTGTCAGCGTGGATCCGCATAGAGGCGCGAAAAACAGCTGTTCTACAGGTTCTCACAGTCTTTCTCTCTCTCTTTCTTTCTTTCCTTCTGTCTGTCTCCATGATTTATGCCAATTGTCAGACTGACTGTTCACGAGTCTTTTTCAGTGTGAATCACTTCCACCATTATTCATAATTATTCACGAAGTCCTTCGGTATTTTCTTTTCTTTTCTTCCAATAGAAGCAGAAACCACAGGTCTCGATGACGAAGATCAATATGGAAATGACGAAGGTAATATCACACACACACACATTCATTGATTTCTATTCCACCTTGAGGATGATCGAAAACATACTCACTCTTTTCATAATTATATTCTAGCCTAGTGGTGCTGGATTTCCTCGATTTGTCAAAGTCATCGTTTCATACATCTGATTGTGAGTATGCAACCAGCCAGCGTGTCCCTTACAAATAAACAGCTCATCGTTATTCACAGATGAAGTTGTCGAGTGCACTGTGAGGGTGAACTGCAAGACTGGTTGCTTCATTTATTTCTCTGTCAGTGCGGATCCGCATAGAGGCGCGAAACACAGCTGTTCTACAGGTTCTCACAGTCTTTCTCTCTCTCTTTCTTTCTTTCTGTCTGTCTGTCTCCATGATTTATGCCAATTGTTAGAATGACTGTTCACGAGTCTTTTTCAGTGTGAATCACTTCCACCATTATTCATAATTATTCACGAAGTCCTTCGGTATTTGATTTTCTTTTCTCCCAATAGAAGCAGAAACCACAGGTCTCGATGACGAAGATCAATATGGAAATGACGAAGGTAATATCACACACACATTCATTGATTTATATTCCACCTTGAGGATGATCGAAAACATACTCACTCTTTTCATAATTATATTCTAGCCTAGTGGTGCTGGATTTCCTCGATTTGTCATAGTCATCGTTTCATACATCTGATTGTGAGTAAGCAACCAGCCAGCGTGTCCCTTACAAATAAACAGCTCATCGTTATTCACAGATGAAGTTGTCGAGTGCACTGTGAGGGTGAACTGCGAGACTGGTTGCTTCATTTATTTCTCTGTCAGCGTGGATCCGCATAGAGGCGCGAAAAACAGCTGTTCTACAGGTTCTCACAGTCTTTCTCTCTCTCTTTCTTTCTTTCCTTCTGTCTGTCTCCATGATTTATGCCAATTGTCAGACTGACTGTTCACGAGTCTTTTTCAGTGTGAATCACTTCCACCATTATTCATAATTATTCACGAAGTCCTTCGGTATTTTCTTTTCTTTTCTTCCAATAGAAGCAGAAACCACAGGTCTCCATGACGAAGATCAATATGGAAATGACGAAGGTAATATCACACACACATTCATTGATTTATATTCCACCTTGAGGATGATCGAAAACATACTCACTCTTTTCATAATTATATTCTAGCCTAGTGGTGCTGGATTTCCTCGATTTGCCATAGTCATCGTTTCATACATCTGATTGTGAGTAAGCAACCAGCCAGCGTGTCCCTTACAAATAAACAGCTCATCGTTATTCACAGATGAAGTTGTCGAGTGCACTGTGAGGGTGAACTGCGAGACTGGTTGCTTCATTTATTTCTCTGTCAGCGTGGATCCGCATAGAGGCGCGAAAAACAGCTGTTCTACAGGTTCTCACAGTCTTTCTCTCTCTCTTTCTTTCTTTCCTTCTGTCTGTCTCCATGATTTATGCCAATTGTCAGACTGACTGTTCACGAGTCTTTTTCAGTGTGAATCACTTCCACCATTATTCATAATTATTCACGAAGTCCTTCGGTATTTTCTTTTCTTTTCTTCCAATAGAAGCAGAAACCACAGGTCTCCATGACGAAGATCAATATGGAAATGACGAAGGTAATATCACACACACATTCATTGATTTATATTCCACCTTGAGGATGATCGAAAACATACTCACTCTTTTCATAATTATATTCTAGCCTAGTGGTGCTGGATTTCCTCGATTTGTCATAGTCATCGTTTCATACATCTGATTGTGAGTAAGCAACCAGCCAGCGTGTCTCTTACAAATAAACAGCTCATCGTTATTCACAGATGAAGTTGTCGAGTGCACTGTGAGGGTGAACTGCGAGACTGGTTGCTTCATTTATTTCTCTGTCAGCGTGGATCCGCATAGAGGCGCGAAAAACAGCTGTTCTACAGGTTCTCACAGTCTTTCTCTCTCTCTCTTTCTTTCTTTCCTTCTGTCTGTCTCCATGATTTATGCCAATTGTCAGACTGACTGTTCACGAGTCTTTTTCAGTGTGAATCACTTCCACCATTATTCATAATTATTCACGAAGTCCTTCGGTATTTTCTTTTCTTTTCTTCCAATAGAAGCAGAAACCACAGGTCTCCATGACGAAGATCAATATGGAAATGACGAAGGTAATATCACACACACATTCATTGATTTATATTCCACCTTGAGGATGATCGAAAACATACTCACTCTTTTCATAATTATATTCTAGCCTAGTGGTGCTGGATTTCCTCGATTTGTCATAGTCATCGTTTCATACATCTGATTGTGAGTAAGCAACCAGCCAGCGTGTCCCTTACAAATAAACAGCTCATCGTTATTCACAGATGAAGTTGTCGAGTGCACTGTGAGGGTGAACTGCGAGACTGGTTGCTTCATTTATTTCTCTGTCAGCGTGGATCCGCATAGAGGCGCGAAAAACAGCTGTTCTACAGGTTCTCACAGTCTTTCTCTCTCTCTTTCTTTCTTTCCTTCTGTCTGTCTCCATGATTTATGCCAATTGTCAGACTGACTGTTCACGAGTCTTTTTCAGTGTGAATCACTTCCACCATTATTCATAATTATTCACGAAGTCCTTCGGTATTTTCTTTTCTTTTCTTCCAATAGAAGCAGAAACCACAGGTCTCGATGACGAAGATCAATATGGAAATGACGAAGGTAATATCACACACACATTCATTGATTTATATTCCACCTTGAGGATGATCGAAAACATACTCACTCTTTTCATAATTATATTCTAGCCTAGTGGTGCTGGATTTCCTCGATTTGTCATAGTCATCGTTTCATACATCTGATTGTGAGTAAGCAACCAGCCAGCGTGTCCCTTACAAATGAACAGCTCATCGTTATTCACAGATGAAGTTGTCGAGTGCACTGTGAGGGTGAACTGCGAGACTGGTTGCTTCATTTATTTCTCTGTCAGCGTGGATCCGCATAGAGGCGCGAAAAACAGCTGTTCTACAGGTTCTCACAGTCTTTCTCTCTCTCTCTTTCTTTCTTTCCTTCTGTCTGTCTCCATGATTTATGCCAATTGTCAGACTGACTGTTCACGAGTCTTTTTCAGTGTGAATCACTTCCACCATTATTCATAATTATTCACGAAGTCCTTCGGTATTTTCTTTTCTTTTCTTCCAATAGAAGCAGAAACCACAGGTCTCGATGACGAAGATCAATATGGAAATGACGAAGGTAATATCACACACACATTCATTGATTTATATTCCACCTTGAGGATGATCGAAAACATACTCACTCTTTTCATAATTATATTCTAGCCTAGTGGTGCTGGATTTCCTCGATTTGTCATAGTCATCGTTTCATACATCTGATTGTGAGTAAGCAACCAGCCAGCGTGTCCCTTACAAATAAACAGCTCATCGTTATTCACAGATGAAGTTGTCGAGTGCACTGTGAGGGTGAACTGCGAGACTGGTTGCTTCATTTATTTCTCTGTCAGCGTGGATCCGCATAGAGGCGCGAAAAACAGCTGTTCTACAGGTTCTCACAGTCTTTCTCTCTCTCTCTTTCTTTCTTTCCTTCTGTCTGTCTCCATGATTTATGCCAATTGTCAGACTGACTGTTCACGAGTCTTTTTCAGTGTGAATCACTTCCACCATTATTCATAATTATTCACGAAGTCCTTCGGTATTTTCTTTTCTTTTCTTCCAATAGAAGCAGAAACCACAGGTCTCCATGACGAAGATCAATATGGAAATGACGAAGGTAATATCACACACACATTCATTGATTTATATTCCACCTTGAGGATGATCGAAAACATACTCACTCTTTTCATAATTATATTCTAGCCTAGTGGTGCTGGATTTCCTCGATTTGTCATAGTCATCGTTTCATACATCTGATTGTGAGTAAGCAACCAGCCAGCGTGTCCCTTACAAATAAACAGCTCATCGTTATTCACAGATGAAGTTGTCGAGTGCACTGTGAGGGTGAACTGCGAGACTGGTTGCTTCATTTATTTCTCTGTCAGCGTGGATCCGCATAGAGGCGCGAAAAACAGCTGTTCTACAGGTTCTCACAGTCTTTCTCTCTCTCTCTTTCTTTCTTTCCTTCTGTCTGTCTCCATGATTTATGCCAATTGTCAGACTGACTGTTCACGAGTCTTTTTCAGTGTGAATCACTTCCACCATTATTCATAATTATTCACGAAGTCCTTCGGTATTTTCTTTTCTTTTCTTCCAATAGAAGCAGAAACCACAGGTCTCGATGACGAAGATCAATATGGAAATGACGAAGGTAATATCACACACACATTCATTGATTTATATTCCACCTTGAGGATGATCGAAAACATACTCACTCTTTTCATAATTATATTCTAGCCTAGTGGTGCTGGATTTCCTCGATTTGTCATAGTCATCGTTTCATACATCTGATTGTGAGTAAGCAACCAGCCAGCGTGTCCCTTACAAATAAACAGCTCATCGTTATTCACAGATGAAGTTGTCGAGTGCACTGTGAGGGTGAACTGCGAGACTGGTTGCTTCATTTATTTCTCTGTCAGCGTGGATCCGCATAGAGGCGCGAAAAACAGCTGTTCTACAGGTTCTCACAGTCTTTCTCTCTCTCTTTCTTTCTTTCCTTCTGTCTGTCTCCATGATTTATGCCAATTGTCAGACTGACTGTTCACGAGTCTTTTTCAGTGTGAATCACTTCCACCATTATTCATAATTATTCACGAAGTCCTTCGGTATTTTCTTTTCTTTTCTTCCAATAGAAGCAGAAACCACAGGTCTCCATGACGAAGATCAATATGGAAATGACGAAGGTAATATCACACACACATTCATTGATTTATATTCCACCTTGAGGATGATCGAAAACATACTCACTCTTTTCATAATTATATTCTAGCCTAGTGGTGCTGGATTTCCTCGATTTGTCATAGTCATCGTTTCATACATCTGATTGTGAGTAAGCAACCAGCCAGCGTGTCCCTTACAAATAAACAGCTCATCGTTATTCACAGATGAAGTTGTCGAGTGCACTGTGAGGGTGAACTGCGAGACTGGTTGCTTCATTTATTTCTCTGTCAGCGTGGATCCGCATAGAGGCGCGAAAAACAGCTGTTCTACAGGTTCTCACAGTCTTTCTCTCTCTCTTTCTTTCTTTCCTTCTGTCTGTCTCCATGATTTATGCCAATTGTCAGACTGACTGTTCACGAGTCTTTTTCAGTGTGAATCACTTCCACCATTATTCATAATTATTCACGAAGTCCTTCGGTATTTTCTTTTCTTTTCTTCCAATAGAAGCAGAAACCACAGGTCTCGATGACGAAAATCAATATGGAAATGACGAAGGTAATATCACACACACATTCATTGATTTATATTCCACCTTGAGGATGATCGAAAACATACTCACTCTTTTCATAATTATATTCTAGCCTAGTGGTGCTGGATTTCCTCGATTTGCCATAGTCATCGTTTCATACATCTGATTGTGAGTAAGCAACCAGCCAGCGTGTCTCTTACAAATAAACAGCTCATCGTTATTCACAGATGAAGTTGTCGAGTGCACTGTGAGGGTGAACTGCGAGACTGGTTGCTTCATTTATTTCTCTGTCAGCGTGGATCCGCATAGAGGCGCGAAAAACAGCTGTTCTACAGGTTCTCACAGTCTTTCTCTCTCTCTTTCTTTCTTTCCTTCTGTCTGTCTCCATGATTTATGCCAATTGTCAGACTGACTGTTCACGAGTCTTTTTCAGTGTGAATCACTTCCACCATTATTCATAATTATTCACGAAGTCCTTCGGTATTTTCTTTTCTTTTCTTCCAATAGAAGCAGAAACCACAGGTCTCCATGACGAAGATCAATATGGAAATGACGAAGGTAATATCACACACACATTCATTGATTTATATTCCACCTTGAGGATGATCGAAAACATACTCACTCTTTTCATAATTATATTCTAGCCTAGTGGTGCTGGATTTCCTCGATTTGTCATAGTCATCGTTTCATACATCTGATTGTGAGTAAGCAACCAGCCAGCGTGTCCCTTACAAATAAACAGCTCATCGTTATTCACAGATGAAGTTGTCGAGTGCACTGTGAGGGTGAACTGCGAGACTGGTTGCTTCATTTATTTCTCTGTCAGCGTGGATCCGCATAGAGGCGCGAAAAACAGCTGTTCTACAGGTTCTCACAGTCTTTCTCTCTCTCTCTTTCTTTCTTTCCTTCTGTCTGTCTCCATGATTTATGCCAATTGTCAGACTGACTGTTCACGAGTCTTTTTCAGTGTGAATCACTTCCACCATTATTCATAATTATTCACGAAGTCCTTCGGTATTTTCTTTTCTTTTCTTCCAATAGAAGCAGAAACCACAGGTCTCCATGACGAAGATCAATATGGAAATGACGAAGGTAATATCACACACACATTCATTGATTTATATTCCACCTTGAGGATGATCGAAAACATACTCACTCTTTTCATAATTATATTCTAGCCTAGTGGTGCTGGATTTCCTCGATTTGCCATAGTCATCGTTTCATACATCTGATTGTGAGTAAGCAACCAGCCAGCGTGTCCCTTACAAATAAACAGCTCATCGTTATTCACAGATGAAGTTGTCGAGTGCACTGTGAGGGTGAACTGCGAGACTGGTTGCTTCATTTATTTCTCTGTCAGCGTGGATCCGCATAGAGGCGCGAAAAACAGCTGTTCTACAGGTTCTCACAGTCTTTCTCTCTCTCTCTTTCTTTCTTTCCTTCTGTCTGTCTCCATGATTTATGCCAATTGTCAGACTGACTGTTCACGAGTCTTTTTCAGTGTGAATCACTTCCACCATTATTCATAATTATTCACGAAGTCCTTCGGTATTTTCTTTTCTTTTCTTCCAATAGAAGCAGAAACCACAGGTCTCCATGACGAAGATCAATATGGAAATGACGAAGGTAATATCACACACACATTCATTGATTTATATTCCACCTTGAGGATGATCGAAAACATACTCACTCTTTTCATAATTATATTCTAGCCTAGTGGTGCTGGATTTCCTCGATTTGTCATAGTCATCGTTTCATACATCTGATTGTGAGTAAGCAACCAGCCAGCGTGTCCCTTACAAATGAACAGCTCATCGTTATTCACAGATGAAGTTGTCGAGTGCACTGTGAGGGTGAACTGCGAGACTGGTTGCTTCATTTATTTCTCTGTCAGCGTGGATCCGCATAGAGGCGCGAAAAACAGCTGTTCTACAGGTTCTCACAGTCTTTCTCTCTCTCTTTCTTTCTTTCCTTCTGTCTGTCTCCATGATTTATGCCAATTGTCAGACTGACTGTTCACGAGTCTTTTTCAGTGTGAATCACTTCCACCATTATTCATAATTATTCACGAAGTCCTTCGGTATTTTCTTTTCTTTTCTTCCAATAGAAGCAGAAACCACAGGTCTCCATGACGAAGATCAATATGGAAATGACGAAGGTAATATCACACACACATTCATTGATTTATATTCCACCTTGAGGATGATCGAAAACATACTCACTCTTTTCATAATTATATTCTAGCCTAGTGGTGCTGGATTTCCTCGATTTGCCATAGTCATCGTTTCATACATCTGATTGTGAGTAAGCAACCAGCCAGCGTGTCCCTTACAAATGAACAGCTCATCGTTATTCACAGATGAAGTTGTCGAGTGCACTGTGAGGGTGAACTGCGAGACTGGTTGCTTCATTTATTTCTCTGTCAGCGTGGATCCGCATAGAGGCGCGAAAAACAGCTGTTCTACAGGTTCTCACAGTCTTTCTCTCTCTCTTTCTTTCTTTCCTTCTGTCTGTCTCCATGATTTATGCCAATTGTCAGACTGACTGTTCACGAGTCTTTTTCAGTGTGAATCACTTCCACCATTATTCATAATTATTCACGAAGTCCTTCGGTATTTTCTTTTCTTTTCTTCCAATAGAAGCAGAAACCACAGGTCTCCATGACGAAGATCAATATGGAAATGACGAAGGTAATATCACACACACATTCATTGATTTATATTCCACCTTGAGGATGATCGAAAACATACTCACTCTTTTCATAATTATATTCTAGCCTAGTGGTGCTGGATTTCCTCGATTTGCCATAGTCATCGTTTCATACATCTGATTGTGAGTAAGCAACCAGCCAGCGTGTCTCTTACAAATAAACAGCTCATCGTTATTCACAGATGAAGTTGTCGAGTGCACTGTGAGGGTGAACTGCGAGACTGGTTGCTTCATTTATTTCTCTGTCAGCGTGGATCCGCATAGAGGCGCGAAAAACAGCTGTTCTACAGGTTCTCACAGTCTTTCTCTCTCTCTCTTTCTTTCTTTCCTTCTGTCTGTCTCCATGATTTATGCCAATTGTCAGACTGACTGTTCACGAGTCTTTTTCAGTGTGAATCACTTCCACCATTATTCATAATTATTCACGAAGTCCTTCGGTATTTTCTTTTCTTTTCTTCCAATAGAAGCAGAAACCACAGGTCTCCATGACGAAGATCAATATGGAAATGACGAAGGTAATATCACACACACATTCATTGATTTATATTCCACCTTGAGGATGATCGAAAACATACTCACTCTTTTCATAATTATATTCTAGCCTAGTGGTGCTGGATTTCCTCGATTTGTCATAGTCATCGTTTCATACATCTGATTGTGAGTAAGCAACCAGCCAGCGTGTCCCTTACAAATGAACAGCTCATCGTTATTCACAGATGAAGTTGTCGAGTGCACTGTGAGGGTGAACTGCGAGACTGGTTGCTTCATTTATTTCTCTGTCAGCGTGGATCCGCATAGAGGCGCGAAAAACAGCTGTTCTACAGGTTCTCACAGTCTTTCTCTCTCTCTCTCTTTCTTTCTTTCCTTCTGTCTGTCTCCATGATTTATGCCAATTGTCAGACTGACTGTTCACGAGTCTTTTTCAGTGTGAATCACTTCCACCATTATTCATAATTATTCACGAAGTCCTTCGGTATTTTCTTTTCTTTTCTTCCAATAGAAGCAGAAACCACAGGTCTCCATGACGAAGATCAATATGGAAATGACGAAGGTAATATCACACACACATTCATTGATTTATATTCCACCTTGAGGATGATCGAAAACATACTCACTCTTTTCATAATTATATTCTAGCCTAGTGGTGCTGGATTTCCTCGATTTGTCATAGTCATCGTTTCATACATCTGATTGTGAGTAAGCAACCAGCCAGCGTGTCCCTTACAAATAAACAGCTCATCGTTATTCACAGATGAAGTTGTCGAGTGCACTGTGAGGGTGAACTGCGAGACTGGTTGCTTCATTTATTTCTCTGTCAGCGTGGATCCGCATAGAGGCGCGAAAAACAGCTGTTCTACAGGTTCTCACAGTCTTTCTCTCTCTCTTTCTTTCTTTCCTTCTGTCTGTCTCCATGATTTATGCCAATTGTCAGACTGACTGTTCACGAGTCTTTTTCAGTGTGAATCACTTCCACCATTATTCATAATTATTCACGAAGTCCTTCGGTATTTTCTTTTCTTTTCTTCCAATAGAAGCAGAAACCACAGGTCTCCATGACGAAGATCAATATGGAAATGACGAAGGTAATATCACACACACATTCATTGATTTATATTCCACCTTGAGGATGATCGAAAACATACTCACTCTTTTCATAATTATATTCTAGCCTAGTGGTGCTGGATTTCCTCGATTTGCCATAGTCATCGTTTCATACATCTGATTGTGAGTAAGCAACCAGCCAGCGTGTCCCTTACAAATAAACAGCTCATCGTTATTCACAGATGAAGTTGTCGAGTGCACTGTGAGGGTGAACTGCGAGACTGGTTGCTTCATTTATTTCTCTGTCAGCGTGGATCCGCATAGAGGCGCGAAAAACAGCTGTTCTACAGGTTCTCACAGTCTTTCTCTCTCTCTTTCTTTCTTTCCTTCTGTCTGTCTCCATGATTTATGCCAATTGTCAGACTGACTGTTCACGAGTCTTTTTCAGTGTGAATCACTTCCACCATTATTCATAATTATTCACGAAGTCCTTCGGTATTTTCTTTTCTTTTCTTCCAATAGAAGCAGAAACCACAGGTCTCCATGACGAAGATCAATATGGAAATGACGAAGGTAATATCACACACACATTCATTGATTTATATTCCACCTTGAGGATGATCGAAAACATACTCACTCTTTTCATAATTATATTCTAGCCTAGTGGTGCTGGATTTCCTCGATTTGTCATAGTCATCGTTTCATACATCTGATTGTGAGTAAGCAACCAGCCAGCGTGTCCCTTACAAATAAACAGCTCATCGTTATTCACAGATGAAGTTGTCGAGTGCACTGTGAGGGTGAACTGCGAGACTGGTTGCTTCATTTATTTCTCTGTCAGCGTGGATCCGCATAGAGGCGCGAAAAACAGCTGTTCTACAGGTTCTCACAGTCTTTCTCTCTCTCTTTCTTTCTTTCCTTCTGTCTGTCTCCATGATTTATGCCAATTGTCAGACTGACTGTTCACGAGTCTTTTTCAGTGTGAATCACTTCCACCATTATTCATAATTATTCACGAAGTCCTTCGGTATTTTCTTTTCTTTTCTTCCAATAGAAGCAGAAACCACAGGTCTCGATGACGAAGATCAATATGGAAATGACGAAGGTAATATCACACACACATTCATTGATTTATATTCCACCTTGAGGATGATCGAAAACATACTCACTCTTTTCATAATTATATTCTAGCCTAGTGGTGCTGGATTTCCTCGATTTGTCATAGTCATCGTTTCATACATCTGATTGTGAGTAAGCAACCAGCCAGCGTGTCCCTTACAAATAAACAGCTCATCGTTATTCACAGATGAAGTTGTCGAGTGCACTGTGAGGGTGAACTGCGAGACTGGTTGCTTCATTTATTTCTCTGTCAGCGTGGATCCGCATAGAGGCGCGAAAAACAGCTGTTCTACAGCTTCTCACAGTCTTTCTCTCTCTCTTTCTTTCTTTCCTTCTGTCTGTCTCCATGATTTATGCCAATTGTCAGACTGACTGTTCACGAGTCTTTTTCAGTGTGAATCACTTCCACCATTATTCATAATTATTCACGAAGTCCTTCGGTATTTTCTTTTCTTTTCTTCCAATAGAAGCAGAAACCACAGGTCTCCATGACGAAGATCAATATGGAAATGACGAAGGTAATATCACACACACATTCATTGATTTATATTCCACCTTGAGGATGATCGAAAACATACTCACTCTTTTCATAATTATATTCTAGCCTAGTGGTGCTGGATTTCCTCGATTTGTCATAGTCATCGTTTCATACATCTGATTGTGAGTAAGCAACCAGCCAGCGTGTCCCTTACAAATAAACAGCTCATCGTTATTCACAGATGAAGTTGTCGAGTGCACTGTGAGGGTGAACTGCGAGACTGGTTGCTTCATTTATTTCTCTGTCAGCGTGGATCCGCATAGAGGCGCGAAAAACAGCTGTTCTACAGGTTCTCACAGTCTTTCTCTCTCTCTTTCTTTCTTTCCTTCTGTCTGTCTCCATGATTTATGCCAATTGTCAGACTGACTGTTCACGAGTCTTTTTCAGTGTGAATCACTTCCACCATTATTCATAATTATTCACGAAGTCCTTCGCTATTTTCTTTTCTTTTCTTCCAATAGAAGCAGAAACCACAGGTCTCCATGACGAAGATCAATATGGAAATGACGAAGGTAATATCACACACACATTCATTGATTTATATTCCACCTTGAGGATGATCGAAAACATACTCACTCTTTTCATAATTATATTCTAGCCTAGTGGTGCTGGATTTCCTCGATTTGTCATAGTCATCGTTTCATACATCTGATTGTGAGTAAGCAACCAGCCAGCGTGTCCCTTACAAATAAACAGCTCATCGTTATTCACAGATGAAGTTGTCGAGTGCACTGTGAGGGTGAACTGCGAGACTGGTTGCTTCATTTATTTCTCTGTCAGCGTGGATCCGCATAGAGGCGCGAAAAACAGCTGTTCTACAGGTTCTCACAGTCTTTCTCTCTCTCTTTCTTTCTTTCCTTCTGTCTGTCTCCATGATTTATGCCAATTGTCAGACTGACTGTTCACGAGTCTTTTTCAGTGTGAATCACTTCCACCATTATTCATAATTATTCACGAAGTCCTTCGGTATTTTCTTTTCTTTTCTTCCAATAGAAGCAGAAACCACAGGTCTCCATGACGAAGATCAATATGGAAATGACGAAGGTAATATCACACACACATTCATTGATTTATATTCCACCTTGAGGATGATCGAAAACATACTCACTCTTTTCATAATTATATTCTAGCCTAGTGGTGCTGGATTTCCTCGATTTGTCATAGTCATCGTTTCATACATCTGATTGTGAGTAAGCAACCAGCCAGCGTGTCCCTTACAAATGAACAGCTCATCGTTATTCACAGATGAAGTTGTCGAGTGCACTGTGAGGGTGAACTGCGAGACTGGTTGCTTCATTTATTTCTCTGTCAGCGTGGATCCGCATAGAGGCGCGAAAAACAGCTGTTCTACAGGTTCTCACAGTCTTTCTCTCTCTCTTTCTTTCTTTCCTTCTGTCTGTCTCCATGATTTATGCCAATTGTCAGACTGACTGTTCACGAGTCTTTTTCAGTGTGAATCACTTCCACCATTATTCATAATTATTCACGAAGTCCTTCGGTATTTTCTTTTCTTTTCTTCCAATAGAAGCAGAAACCACAGGTCTCCATGACGAAGATCAATATGGAAATGACGAAGGTAATATCACACACACATTCATTGATTTATATTCCACCTTGAGGATGATCGAAAACATACTCACTCTTTTCATAATTATATTCTAGCCTAGTGGTGCTGGATTTCCTCGATTTGTCATAGTCATCGTTTCATACATCTGATTGTGAGTAAGCAACCAGCCAGCGTGTCCCTTACAAATAAACAGCTCATCGTTATTCACAGATGAAGTTGTCGAGTGCACTGTGAGGGTGAACTGCGAGACTGGTTGCTTCATTTATTTCTCTGTCAGCGTGGATCCGCATAGAGGCGCGAAAAACAGCTGTTCTACAGGTTCTCACAGTCTTTCTCTCTCTCTTTCTTTCTTTCCTTCTGTCTGTCTCCATGATTTATGCCAATTGTCAGACTGACTGTTCACGAGTCTTTTTCAGTGTGAATCACTTCCACCATTATTCATAATTATTCACGAAGTCCTTCGGTATTTTCTTTTCTTTTCTTCCAATAGAAGCAGAAACCACAGGTCTCCATGACGAAGATCAATATGGAAATGACGAAGGTAATATCACACACACATTCATTGATTTATATTCCACCTTGAGGATGATCGAAAACATACTCACTCTTTTCATAATTATATTCTAGCCTAGTGGTGCTGGATTTCCTCGATTTGTCATAGTCATCGTTTCATACATCTGATTGTGAGTAAGCAACCAGCCAGCGTGTCTCTTACAAATAAACAGCTCATCGTTATTCACAGATGAAGTTGTCGAGTGCACTGTGAGGGTGAACTGCGAGACTGGTTGCTTCATTTATTTCTCTGTCAGCGTGGATCCGCATAGAGGCGCGAAAAACAGCTGTTCTACAGGTTCTCACAGTCTTTCTCTCTCTCTTTCTTTCTTTCCTTCTGTCTGTCTCCATGATTTATGCCAATTGTCAGACTGACTGTTCACGAGTCTTTTTCAGTGTGAATCACTTCCACCATTATTCATAATTATTCACGAAGTCCTTCGGTATTTTCTTTTCTTTTCTTCCAATAGAAGCAGAAACCACAGGTCTCCATGACGAAGATCAATATGGAAATGACGAAGGTAATATCGCACACACATTCATTGATTTATATTCCACCTTGAGGATGATCGAAAACATACTCACTCTTTTCATAATTATATTCTAGCCTAGTGGTGCTGGATTTCCTCGATTTGTCATAGTCATCGTTTCATACATCTGATTGTGAGTAAGCAACCAGCCAGCGTGTCCCTTACAAATGAACAGCTCATCGTTATTCACAGATGAAGTTGTCGAGTGCACTGTGAGGGTGAACTGCGAGACTGGTTGCTTCATTTATTTCTCTGTCAGCGTGGATCCGCATAGAGGCGCGAAAAACAGCTGTTCTACAGGTTCTCACAGTCTTTCTCTCTCTCTTTCTTTCTTTCCTTCTGTCTGTCTCCATGATTTATGCCAATTGTCAGACTGACTGTTCACGAGTCTTTTTCAGTGTGAATCACTTCCACCATTATTCATAATTATTCACGAAGTCCTTCGGTATTTTCTTTTCTTTTCTTCCAATAGAAGCAGAAACCACAGGTCTCCATGACGAAGATCAATATGGAAATGACGAAGGTAATATCGCACACACATTCATTGATTTATATTCCACCTTGAGGATGATCGAAAACATACTCACTCTTTTCATAATTATATTCTAGCCTAGTGGTGCTGGATTTCCTCGATTTGTCATAGTCATCGTTTCATACATCTGATTGTGAGTAAGCAACCAGCCAGCGTGTCCCTTACAAATGAACAGCTCATCGTTATTCACAGATGAAGTTGTCGAGTGCACTGTGAGGGTGAACTGCGAGACTGGTTGCTTCATTTATTTCTCTGTCAGCGTGGATCCGCATAGAGGCGCGAAAAACAGCTGTTCTACAGGTTCTCACAGTCTTTCTCTCTCTCTCTTTCTTTCTTTCCTTCTGTCTGTCTCCATGATTTATGCCAATTGTCAGACTGACTGTTCACGAGTCTTTTTCAGTGTGAATCACTTCCACCATTATTCATAATTATTCACGAAGTCCTTCGGTATTTTCTTTTCTTTTCTTCCAATAGAAGCAGAAACCACAGGTCTCCATGACGAAGATCAATATGGAAATGACGAAGGTAATATCACACACACATTCATTGATTTATATTCCACCTTGAGGATGATCGAAAACATACTCACTCTTTTCATAATTATATTCTAGCCTAGTGGTGCTGGATTTCCTCGATTTGTCATAGTCATCGTTTCATACATCTGATTGTGAGTAAGCAACCAGCCAGCGTGTCTCTTACAAATAAACAGCTCATCGTTATTCACAGATGAAGTTGTCGAGTGCACTGTGAGGGTGAACTGCGAGACTGGTTGCTTCATTTATATCTCTTTATGTGCGGATTTTCATCCACGTTCCAATCACAATTATCCTCCAGCTTCTTCCTGATTTTTCATTTTTACTGATTATTTCGGCTTCTTCAATAATTTGGAGTAATTCACATATATTTCAATGTTAATTCCATGGCGTATCTGACAAATTATTTTCGCTTATCCCCGCAACATTTGTTTTCTCGCTGCTCTTATGAAATTACTGATTATGATGATGCGAATAACGGTTTGATAATAGGAAAAATACTAATTACATTGCTTACTGAGTGCTCGAGCTAACCTAAATCAAATAACTTGAAATCCATTTTAGCATGTCCTCAGGTTCTTGCTTATATTTGAAGATGCACGCAGACTGTGCGAAGGAGGGAAATGATGATCGGCCATTAGATATTCAAATGTAACTTCACGAATTATTTACGTTATTCTATTGAATTAACCAAGTCAGCTGATATATGACGACAGTTACCTGCTTTGTTCTTATGAGCACTTAGTCAAGCATATTTTCAAACTGCTAGCATGCACTATTCGCTTCAATGCAAAGTGAAAACCAAGTTGAGAAGCTGATGAACTGAGCTATTTGCATTACAAAAACACGCACATTCACAGGAGAACGCCTGACTATTTGGAACATTCCTCTCAGAATTGAAATATGTTTAAATTAATGTGAATAGCTGGTATTTAAAGGAAAGTCGAAGTATTATTTTAACACTACACAGTGTGAAGCAGCTGTAAACTTCATTCCAGTAGATGTAGTACTAAATGTACTGTTTTGTATCGCATTTTAAAGTAACAGTTATATTAATGTCCTGCTGAAACCAAATATGTTTTCCCTATTTCAGAAATGAAGCCAACACTGATTTGAACCTTCTTCAACATGCACTTCATAACAATTGTACTTTTTTGCCATTTTAACTAACTAACATTAACTGAATACATTTGAAACTGACTAACTAACTAACTAACTAACTAATGCTTCCTTTTAACAAATGCAGTCTTACTAATTTAAATACAAATAATTCATGTTTAATCGTTTGCTTCTTTCATTCTTTAGCCAGAGAATATTTAAGAGGTTAAGGGATTTGGAGAATAAATGCATTTCACAGACTTCATTGCCTACAATTTCAATATCCTGATGTTGGTTTTAAGCAACATTTGGCTGGGAATAATAGAAAGTTCAGGTTGTGACAACTGTCACATTTTCAGCACGAGTTAGCGATAATCGTAAATTATAATTTAGAAAGAGGAGTATAATTTCGAGTGTAAAGGTTCAGTGGCTGTACCTTCCATTGTGAAAGTATATGTTCTGATATATCATTATCGATAAACCATCCAGCTCAGAGAACACAACTACATCAAAACCATCTACCCGAAATACAGATCTTCTCCACTACATCTAGATGAAGAAAGAATATCACATAGTTCTTGCATTCACCCTTACATCTCCACTTCAATCTGCTGGTGGTAGAACGTTCCAGCTGTACATATTAACTTACTATATGCCTTGACAAATACACAATAAAAACAAAGCAGTTACAGAATACATGCACATGGACACTCGCTCACATAGAAAAGTTGACGCATAAGTACACTTCTCACATGATCACTGGGTTAAAGGTACTTAATTCTGTGGATAGTAATGATGAATAGAATGTCTACTTTGAGAAAAACAATCAAACGATAATCACAGCGTTTTGCATACAATTAAGAAACCGAAAATCGATTAGGCTCCAGAGAGGGAAATAGCCTAAACCACCTAGTCTACCACAACCAAATGCAATTGAGGAACAAGAGAACAAATGTAGGCAATCCCGTGGTAAAACAAATCGGAAAATAGGGTTCGTCATAAAGATTCACGCTTCGGAGTATCACTTTAATCTGTAGTTCACTAGTATACACCTCTCCGGTGATGTGCATCAGCCACGACGCCAGTGCGAAGTGGATGGTCATTGACGGCACCAGTTGTCGATAATGCTGTATCGCCAGTTGAAAGGAATTAGAATTCACAGATTATTGTATATGCACATCTTGTCGTGGAGTTAAAAGTTCCACCAAATACATTCATTGATAGAAAATCAAAGTACAATACACAACACGCCAGCAGGGTTTGTAATTTCAACAAAGTAGGTAGAGGTGTTCCACAACATGGTAACCTTCGACCTTACATCTTAATTACGTGTATTTGTTACCACTCACTGCCTACAGAACTCAATCATTGGAAGGGAAATAAACTAATCGTGGAAAATACCCATTTGTACATTAGATTGAGAATAAGAAGTTTAGCGAAGATATCTTTTCGGTGATTTTATTTTCAAAAGCTGTACAATCACATTTATATACATAATTTTATATGGAGACAATTCTTGTCTGATTCTACGCAATTATGACGGCGAATAAAATGTGATAATTCTTTCTAACTAGATATATTTTCACGAGAGGCTTAGAAACAATACAACGCAGGATTAGAACGGATATGAAGTGTGTAAAAATGAGCATGGAAATACAATTGAAAAAAATTTTCAACTTGAGATGGGAATCAGGAGGTGCGAATATAGATAACAAGAGCCTAAGAGACAAAATTTCATGGGATTTAGCAAATTACAGGTGTGCAGAAAATGAGCATGGAAACAAAAATTGATATTTCATACAACTGGTTCCTTTGATAAATTTCGATAAGGAAAGGAAGACGAAATTTGCAGTATAAAATGATATGATTCTATTTCACAGGTTCTCATCAGCTGCAGATCACCTGAAATTACAATGGTTATATAAATTATAATACCATACTTTAATGTTTGCGTGGTAGTAGAGAAGAGATAAAATTGACGCATCCGAAAAAGAATGAAAGCATTACAATTTTTAGTTTAAGTTATCATCATCAATTTATACACTTTCAAAGTTGAAAAGAGGGGGGAGGGGTAAGACAGAAAACAGAAAAATTGATTAACAGAAACAGTGTTAGCTTGCAGGTTCACATAGCAACTCCGAAAAAAAACAAAGGCGGTTACAATTTATGAGATTAAGATTTGTTCAGTGAGTTGAGAACACTGTATTAGATGACTAATTATTGTAATCAAAATCAAAATTCAGTTACCAAGGGAGTGAGAGGTTATTCACACTCTCTTTCTGTATGCATAAGTCTGGTTTAAATCGTTTGATTGCAATCGCTTCGGCAAACCGTAGTAAATTTGCTGTCCTTTGTCTATTTAATATTTTTTGAAGGACTTAGAAATCTCTACGAGATGTCCGGTATCAACAATATGTCTGGTAATTGCACTCTGAGAATATTTGCTTCCCTTCAGGCATACGTTTCTTGGAATATGTTCAAAAACCGGATAGAAGCCCTTCTTTCTGTCCTTCCAATGTACTTGCTCCCGCAAGTGCACGTAAATTCATAAACGCAGTTGCAGGTGACATCAGCAGGGTGTTTGTCCAGTTTTGAGTGGATTACAGAAGGAGTGGTGTTGTATACTGTTATGAGTTTTGCTGCCGGGAAGCTTCTATTTATTGCTCCTTTCAGTCTTCTGTCAATCTTTTGTGACACTGCATCTCCTTTGAATGGGACACAAATAAACAATTTTTCTTTTCTACAGTTGGATTTTCACTTGCAGCCGTCAAGAACGATGCGTCAGCTCTTTCAGTGAACACTTCTGACAATTTTATGCCTAGAAGGATAAGTATGTCATTCACATATCTCCATCGAATGTTAGGAGTTGAAATAAACGTCCTATGTAGTGTCATTATCCAGTGTCTAATATTCAGCAATCAACTGAGTGTGTGGCGTGTGCAACTGATAAGATTTATGAGTTGAATATGAATGCAAACATTAACAAATATAACAGCTTGAAGAATATCGTATAGCAGAGGGATGGACTTAATGAATGATGCTTGTGAAACAACATTATTACTAATATTATGGTTACCTTAAGTTGTGAGTGGAACGTAGGGTTTCATCAGCACGTCTTCATTTCGTCCTGTTTCTTCGGGTCCCCTTCAACTGACCGCACGATTTCCCATGATCCCCAATCTACTCCTAACATAGTCTTCTGCATGTCACCTTGGGATGCCTAAGTCGTCGCTTTTCACCCGAGTCCCACTCAAGTGATGGTCTGGTGCAAGATGTCATTCGATGGTCTCCTCAGAATACGCATACTCTGTCTCCATTTCCTTCAACATATCTGGTTGTTTGTTCGCACATATTCTTCCTGTGAAGTGAAGGCAGTCATTGATAATGGACTGCAGCCTGTTGGAAATGCTTTCTGTGGTGCACATGCAAACTTTCGACTGATTTAAAAGAACTTACTGACTTAACTTTCGTAAAGATAATTCGAATCTTGTTCTAAATACTGCAGAGTTCATGAGATTTCCAAACTGACCTCAGAGTGAAGAAGGTGTACTTTGCCTTTCCGATTCTGGCTGGTTTTGATATCTTCATCTGTATCGTCTGTAGTTGAAACGATGCTCTCTAGATAAGTGGAGGAAGTAACCTCATTTCACATTTCTCCCGTTAATAGTGAGTGGTGTTGGCTGTCTTCACCTCCGTATTCTCTATCTTCACTTTCTGTCATGTCTTTGCTGCTTCTTCAGCCAACTTGTTGGTTTTCACCTGTAATTCTTCGAATTTTTTTGACATTAGGCGGAAATTTTGATTGTGTATATGGAAAAATGGTTTCGATATCTACACTGTAACTTTATGTGCTTTGCTGGATCATTAGGCAGGAAGCATTTCTGGTGAAGTCTTTCTTTGGAGCATTGGGAAGGACAAACTCTCGCATATGACCAATTCAATATGCATTTACCAGTTCGCCTGCTCGTGCGGAGCAAGGTACTTATGTCGTTGTATGCGCCTCCTTTCAAAACGAATTAAAGAACACTACCCAGCCTGGCTACAAAGAGGAGGCACCGTTTCAATCAGAAGTGACATTATTGAGCATCTGATCAAAACCTCCCACAACATCTCAACTGATTCATTCACAGTAATTCACAAAGTCAACAGAAACCTACCGAAAGCAGTTTGTTTCCGACTTCTCTGTACTGCAGAAGCCCTCGCAATATGCATCGAGAAGACGGAGATGTATGTCCAACCTCTACAACTACCATTGACTTAGTTCGGTAACTTACCTTTGCTTCCGTTTTTGTTTTTGATCCCTTTTCATTCGCTATGTGTGTGATTCTTATTCCCTCAGTCTTCATTTGATTCACCCCATTTATCTTTCAGGTATAAAAACAGTTATTTTAAGTTTGTTTCCATGCTTTTCCTGTTCACATTTAAAATTCGTTTTAATAAAAAAATTTATAATTATATTTTAATCCTGTGCAATTTTTCATGTTTCTAAGGCTCTTGTAATATATATTCAAACCTTCTAAATTCCATCTTAAGTGTTGTTGTATACTGTTATGAGTTTTGCTGCCGAGAAGCATCTATTTATTGCTCCTTTCAGTTTTCTGTAAATCTTTTGTGACACTGCATCTCCTTTGAATGGGACACAAATAAACTCTTTTTCTTTTCTACAGTTAGATGCTTTCCTTTCTATTATTCTTCTCTGCTATACTCCTGTATAAATCCTTTAGTGTCCATCTATAGAAAAGTAACCTGGACTGTACAATATCTTCACTATAACAGCTTTTTCCCATAAGCTATAAACGTGGATTAGTGAGGACATTGTTCATCAGAGCCAGGAAGCTATGTTCACAGAACAAGGTCGAAGAAGAACTAGATTTCGTCGAGAAATATCTGAAAGAAAATGGACTCCCTAAAGGATTTATACAGAAGAATAGCAGAGAAAAATGAGAGAAAGAAACGCATCCAAATGTAGAAAAGAAAAAAGTGTTTATTTGTGTCCCATTCAAAGGAGATGCAGTGTCACAAAAGATTGACAGAAGACTGAAAGGAGCAATAAATAGAAGCTTCCCGGCAGCAAAACTCATAACAGTATACAACACCACTCCTTCTGTAATCCACTCAAAACTGGACAAACACCCTGCTGATGTCACCTGCAACTGCGTTTATGAATTTACGTGCACTTGCGGGAGCAAGTACATTGGAAGGACAGAAAGAAGGGCTTCTATCCGGTTTTTGAACATATTCCAAGAAACGTATGCCTGAAGGGAAGCAAATATTCTCAGAGTGCAATTACCAGACATATTGTTGATACCGGACATCTCGTAGAGATTTCTAAGTCCTTCAAAAAATATTAAATAGACAAAGGACAGCAAATTTACTACGGTTTGCCGAAGCGATTGCAATCAAACGATTTAAACCAGACTTATGCATACAGAAAGAGAGTGTGAATAACCTCTCACTCCCTTGGTAACTGAATTTTGATTTTGATTACAATAATTAGTCATCTAATACAGTGTTCTCAACTCACTGAACAAATCTTAATCTCATAAATTGTAACCGCCTTTGTTTTTTTTTCGGAGTTGCTATGTGAACCTGCAAGCTAACACTGTTTCTGTTAATCAATTTTTCTGTTTTCTGTCTTACCCCTCCCCCCTCTTTTCAACTTTGAAAGTGTATAAATTGATGATGATAACTTAAACTAAAAATTGTAATGCTTTCATTCTTTTTCGGATGCGTCAATTTTATCTCTTCTCTACTACCACGCAAACATTAAAGTATGGTATTATAATTTATATAACCATTGTAATTTCAGGTGATCTGCAGCTGATGAGAACCTGTGAAATAGAATCATATCATTTTATACTGCAAATTTCGTCTTCCTTTCCTTATCGAAATTTATCAAAGGAACCAGTTGTATGAAATATCAATTTTTGTTTCCATGCTCATTTTCTGCACACCTGTAATTTGCTAAATCCCATGAAATTTTGTCTCTTAGGCTCTTGTTATCTATATTCGCACCTCCTGATTCCCATCTCAAGTTGAAAATTTTTTTCAATTGTATTTCCATGCTCATTTTTACACACTTCATATCCGTTCTAATCCTGCGTTGTATTGTTTCTAAGCCTCTCGTGAAAATATATCTAGTTAGAAAGAATTATCACATTTTATTCGCCGTCATAATTGCGTAGAATCAGACAAGAATTGTCTCCATATAAAATTATGTATATAAATGTGATTGTACAGCTTTTGAAAATAAAATCACCGAAAAGATATCTTCGCTAAACTTCTTATTCTCAATCTAATGTACAAATGGGTATTTTCCACGATTAGTTTATTTCCCTTCCAATGATTGAGTTCTGTAGGCAGTGAGTGGTAACAAATACACGTAATTAAGATGTAAGGTCGAAGGTTACCATGTTGTGGAACACCTCTACCTACTTTGTTGAAATTACAAACCCTGCTGGCGTGTTGTGTATTGTACTTTGATTTTCTATCAATGAATGTATTTGGTGGAACTTTTAACTCCACGACAAGATGTGCATATACAATAATCTGTGAATTCTAATTCCTTTCAACTGGCGATACAGCATTATCGACAACTGGTGCCGTCAATGACCATCCACTTCGCACTGGCGTCGTGGCTGATGCACATCACCGGAGAGGTGTATACTAGTGAACTACAGATTAAAGTGATACTCCGAAGCGTGAATCTTTATGACGAACCCTATTTTCCGATTTGTTTTACCACGGGATTGCCTACATTTGTTCTCTTGTTCCTCAATTGCATTTGGTTGTGGTAGACTAGGTGGTTTAGGCTATTTCCCTCTCTGGAGCCTAATCGATTTTCGGTTTCTTAATTGTATGCAAAACGCTGTGATTATCGTTTGATTGTTTTTCTCAAAGTAGACATTCTATTCATCATTACTATCCACAGAATTAAGTACCTTTAACCCAGTGATCATGTGAGAAGTGTACTTATGCGTCAACTTTTCTATGTGAGCGAGTGTCCATGTGCATGTATTCTGTAACTGCTTTGTTTTTATTGTGTATTTGTCAAGGCATATAGTAAGTTAATATGTACAGCTGGAACGTTCTACCACCAGCAGATTGAAGTGGAGATGTAAGGGTGAATGCAAGAACTATGTGATATTCTTTCTGAATCTAGATGTAGTGTTGAAGATCTGTATTTCAGGTAGATGGTTTTGATGTAGTTGTGTTCTCTGAGCTGGATGGTTTATCGATAATGATATATCAGAACATATACTTTCACAATGGAAGGTACAGCCACTGAACCTTTACACTCGAAATTATACTCCTCTTTCTAAATGATAATTTACGATTATCGCTAACTCGTGCTGAAAATGTGACAGTTGTCACAACCTGAACTTTCTATTATTCCCAGCCAAATGTTGCTTAAAACCAACATCAGGATATTGAAATTGTAGGCAATGAAGTCTGTGAAATGCATTTATTCTCCAAATCCCTTAACCTCTTAAATATTCTCTGGCTAAAGAATGAAAGAAGCAAACGATTAAACATGAATTATTTGTATTTAAATTAGTAAGACTGCATTTGTTAAAAGGAAGCATTAGTTAGTTAGTTAGTTAGTTAGTCAGTTTCAAATGTATTCAGTTAATGTTAGTTAGTTAAAATGGCAAAAAAGTACAATTGTTATGAAGTGCATGTTGAAGAAGGTTCAAATCAGTGTTGGCTTCATTTCTGAAATAGGGAAAACATATTTGGTTTCAGCAGGACATTAATATAACTGTTACTTTAAAATGCGATACAAAACAGTACATTTAGTACTACATCTACTGGAATGAATTCTACAGCTGCTTCACACTATGTAGTGTGAAACTAATACATCGACTTCCTGTTAATTTAAACATTTTTCAATTCTGATAGGGACGTTCGAAATAGTCAAGCATTCTTATGTGGATAAGCGCATTTTTGTAACGCAAATAATTCAGGTCAACTGCTTCTCAACTTGGTTTTCACTTTACATGGAAGCGGATAGTGCATGCTAGCAGTTTGAAAATATACTTGACTAAGTGCTCATAGGAACACAGCAGGTAACTGTCGTCATATATCAGCTGACTTGGTTAATTCGATAAAATAACGAAAAACTTTCGTGAAGTTACATTTGAATATCAAAAAGTCGGTCATCATTTTCCTCCTTCTCACAGTCTGCGTGCATCTTCAAATATTATCACGAACGTGCGGACATACTACTGTGGATTTCAAGTTATTTGATTTAGGTTAGCTCGAGCACTCACGACGCCATGTCATTAGTAATTTTCCCATTATCACATAGTTATTCGCATCACCATAATCGGTTATTCTCATAAGAACGCCTCGACAGCAGAACACACGGTGTGGAGATTCGCTAACCCATTTTCAAGATGAGAGTTGGTTTTGATTGTCGATTATATTTTACGTTCTTATTTTCAAATAAAGAATGACAATGATTTGGTGGTAAGCAGTTAAAATGTCTTCGGCGAATCTCAATGGCCGTCTAGTTGGCATAGATTTTCGCAACCCGTCATAAAGAAGGTGTACATCTCAGTTCGGTTTTATTCTTTTATTCCTCACACCAGATAAGTAAGTGCTCGTCACATAAGTGGATGTATCTACTTCTTTCTAATTGTTAGATGACTATCGTAATTATTAAACAAACGAGAATATTCAGATGACACTTAAATTGTAACATCAAATCTTACAGGTGGTCGCTGCGAAAATGAATGTGTGGAATGAAGTTTTGAAGTTAACTTTGAGAATTAATTCTGTAAATTTACTTTTAATGAAATAGATGCAAACTTCGACTGTCTGTAACGCAGAATGTGTC